CCGAATCTGCCAAAATGAAATCCATTGATCTGTATAAACAGTATGCACTAATACAAAAGCGTGCAGCCAGAAGAATGAAAGAAGAAAACGAGAAAACAGATTGAAGAATTTCACAACCTTTAAATATCTCTCCAGCTGGTGAGAAAACCAGTGCGTAGGAAAACGCACTGCACTATACGTGACTGTTTTCCTGGTCGGCTTACTCGCCCGTCTCAGGGCTGGTGAACTAAGCAGCTGTCTACAGTCGGGGACGGGTGGAGTGTTTGGTCTAAGAAGGTGAATTACAAGGATTTATAGAATTTCTACGAATTCAGATTAGCTCTGAGTATTGCCTAGGTTTCTAGCTTTTGTGTCTAAGTTGGGGTACGGCATACACGAGGATAGTAGCGACCATTTCACTTTGTTTAAGCCCTCCCTGTGCGCTGAAGTGTGCTGACTTCTGCTGCAGCTTATCAAATGCAAACAATTTAATGTTTTCTCTGTTACACATCTACGCCTAGCTTCATACATTGCATTCGGGAGTCATTCCGAATCCATTAAAACATGGAAAGTTAAAATGTTTGTTAAATGATAGGATTTTAAAAACAACAACTGCAGAAAACCCCTCTTCCATCTGTTTAGCCCTACGCTGAGCACAGGAGAGAACAACATCGTTAAGAGTCCTTATCACAAAGCATTTGCAGTCTGCTCTGGTACAAATTACTTAGGGGTAATACACAAAATAGCCAGTAGCCTCCATATAATCAAGCACCAAATTGTGCTTCGCAAGCCTCACACTAAAATTAAAAACTAATATTATTTTAACAATGAAAAATGGATTCCACTTTGTTGCATGAATGCAGGTTGGAAGCTTTAGCTGTCACAGAATACTTGCAGTAGTACTGGGGGGTGCATTGAACCCATGACCTTGCTCGGAGCTCCATCCCCAGCCCTATTTTCCTTTTTTATTTTGAGATAGGATCTCACTAAGTTGCCTAAAGTGGGCTCAGACTTGCAACCCTCCTGCCTCAGCCTCCCAGAGTGCTGGGATTACAGCCTTGCAGTATTGGGCTTAGCTTCTTCTCTACTTCTTATACCCAGGAGAGGAAATTCCAGCATTATCCACAAGTTCCCGTAGTGTGATCCACTTTCTACTACACCTTTGTAAAAATAAGTGAACGAAGAGCTCTCTTTACCCTGTGTTGTGTTCCACCCTCCTTATCCTCCTGAATCACCAGTCTACTCCATAGTTTCCAGGAAGGGATCTAGGTCTCACAATGCTATCCAGTAGGTCATAAGTCTACCGACTGTGTGGCCACCACACCCCTAAACTTGCAAGCCCTCCCTCTGAGCCTAGAGCTTTTCTTCCTTTTTCGTCTCTCTGGATGACCTAAGGCCATTATTTATTTCTTCCACTCATTAAGTTATGCAAAGTTCCAAGGTAAAAGGAGGAGAATATTTCAGAACAGAGAACAGCCAACAGGTTAGGTACAGATGAAGCTTCGAGGGGGATATAAATGAAGAGGAGCCGCTGGCGTCCACCCTGGGAGAACACTTTTGGGCGGTGTGGAAGAGGCAGCGAGAGTCAGGTGTGGAGAAAGGGGAGGCAGAGGCAGCCAAACAACTCCAATTAGAAATGTGTGAGGAGAAAGCGAAGTAGTGGGGACCCAGCGGAGCTCCAGTCCTAGAGGAAAGCCCTGATGTGCTTGCTCAGGGTCTCTGAGAGAGGGGAGACAAGGTCCCGGATGTACAGAGCGCCAGCAGGCTGGTGCAGAGACCATGTCCTCTCAGCAATGAAAGGGAGACCAGGGTGTAAGGATGAGTGTAGAATGCCGCTGGGCTCTGGGATCCTCTCAAGGGGAGAAGTTTTCATTTCGGAATTGATTTCCGGCCATACATCATGGCGTGTGCCTCCAGCTCCAGCTGTTGGGAAGGCTGAGGCAAGACAATGACTTGAGCCCAGGCATTCGAGGACAGCCTGGGCAATTTAGCAAGACCCAGTCTCAAAACAAAAGAATTCCCGCAGAGTGAAGGGGAGATGAACCGTGCGGGGCAGGCTAGACGGTAAATAGGGGACACAGGGAAGATGAAAGGTGGGGGTGGGGAGAGGGAGCCCGGCACCTTTGCCCAGAGAGTCCAGCACCTGAGACTCCAAGCAGGTAGACGACGGAATATACCGACCTATCAGGGTTCTGATAACTGAAATGGCAAAGGTTCAAGATACTGCAGTCCTTGTGGAAGCGGGGCTAAAAGGAAAAGGCCTTAGCGTGCAAGGCACATGCAAAGAAAAATGAAACCACGAAAGAAAGGGACCAGAGACAACCCAAACAGACCAGCAGACTGGTGGCTCCAGTGACGTTGATGGGCAGCGGCTCGAGCACCCGTAGCAGGCGGAGGTGAAGATGCTGGAGGTGAAGCAGCGTGAGAGCCTCAGATTCGTGGGCTCCGCATCCTCCTATTCAGCCAACTTCCGATTGAAATTCTTTAAAGGAAAAACGTGTCTGTATTAAACGTGTACAGACTTTCTAATTCTCACTCCCTAAACAATACAGAATAACAACTACTCACGTAGATGTGCACTTTACTAGGTCTCATAAGAAAGTCAGAGATGATTTAAAGTACATGCAAGAATGCACACGGGCTGTGCAGATAGCGCACCATTTTACATAAAGGACCAAGCGTCTGCAGATGTGTATCCTCCCGGGTTTGAGACCCTCTCTCCTGAGGACACCAAAGGCTGACTGCGTGCGTGTCAGATTTCCCCTGCCGGCATCGAAGGTCAGAGAGGCTGGGGACTGATGTACTTTGGTGTATCCCTCATTGGAAGATGAGGTTTCTAACCTCTAGCTCTCATTTTATTACACGTTATCATGATATATTAAACCTTTCAGTACTGTTAAAAAGACCAGTTTATTCTAAACGAGTTTTTACTGCATCAGCGTCATTGAGAGAACTCAAAGAGAAAAACAAGGCCTCTCTCATGTTAATGCTCTTAAAATGACTTCATTTTTCTATTTTATCTTCTGGATTTTGTCCATATATATTTAATGTTTAGTTAATACCTATTATAACATAAGTATCATTCTGCTTGTCAAATTACCTCCTTTTAATGAGAATGAAATAAATATGTTCCATGTTCCTTTGTGTGCCTTTTGCAGTGCTAGTGGTTGAACTCCCGGCGTCACGTGTGCTAGGCAAGGTCTGTACCACTGAACTACATTTCTAGCCTTCCTTGTGATTCTGAAAATAGTTTCAGTGTTTATTCGTCTATCATATTTAACTGCTTTCCTGTTGTTGGATATGTAGTTCATTTTCAGTTTTGCAGTATTTCAAGGAATGTGGCTGCGAATGTCTTCTTGTGTACAATTCTCATTTTAGGTTATTTCCTTAAGATAGATTTATAAAAACAGGAAAGGGGCTTAAAAATCAGGCTCTTTAAAAATACATACTGCTAAAATCTTTTCAACTGCCATAACAGTGTATATATTTTGCTGTACAAAATTGCTAACCGTGGAATATTATTTCATCTATTAAATATTATTGAAATCATCTATTACAAATCATCTAATATTATTGAAATAATCTATTAAATATCATCTATTGAATACTATTTCATCTAATAAACTGTCATATCCAGGAGAATAGTGCAAGACTGGGGAAAGAATGTTGGCATGGCCTTAAGGAAGTCCAAATTTTACTCTAAAGTTAGGAAATAAGTGTGTGAAGGGCTTAATTTCTCTAGTCTTACAATTGCTGTATGAGTATGTTTGCCAAAATAGTAGTTAGTGCCTCTTTCAATGCAAAGATTTCTGTTCCTAGCCATCTGAAGGGGTCTTTTTTACACTGACTGACTGGATTAACAGCTAACATACATGTATGTATTTGTTTGTTTATTTATTCGTACCAGGAATCAAACTCACGACCTCACGCTTGCCAGGCAGGCGCTGTGCTGCTGAGCCATAGCCCTGGCCCTAACAGCTAACATTTATTGAGTACTGTAGGGCAATTTCACTTTAAGCACTTTACATACTTTGTCTGATTCACACCATAAACCACAGCGGCTGGAATATTTATCATATCCAATCAAGCTGATGCAGACCTACCATTTAGGCTAATGCGGCAGAGACCACC